TCTTCATGTGAACTTCTTCATGTGAACTTCTTCATGTGAACCGCTAGGTTCAAACCTCCATGGGGAAGAACTGCTCCATCTCTGACCCCCAGACCCCCAAGGTCACTTGGTTCCAACAAGGCCAGGCTCTCTACTCTTCCCTGCAGTTGTAACCATGTCCTCTGGTCAAACAACCCTTCACTTTTCAAACTCGGCAACCTTTCCTCTGAGTTCCAGATGAAGGATCTCACTTCTGACTCACGCCAGCTGCTCTCCTTTTCTCCACCCTTATTGTCCTTGATTATTTGCCAATCCAAGTTTGCCAATCTGAGGTGTCAATAATCTGGTGAGGGCAATGCTGGGGATAACTCCTGGTATTTCCTAGGGAGCTGTGTGAGCAAATGACTGAAAAGCAATAAGCAACGCATAGGCATTCTCAGCTGAGATTAGGCACCAGGGAAGGCCCTGCCTTGGAGGAAGCAGTCACTTGTGCTCCTGACAGTCAAAGCTGTCAAAGTGCCTCTGGTTTCTGAAAGCCAATGCTAAGGAGGTTTAGATCAGCCATGGAGGGGCCACATCACAGGCGGAGAGGCAGAAGGGAGGCAAACTGCAAGACTTAGGGGTGGGGCAGCGCCAATCACCACCCCCCAGGGAGGAAGACGACAGGTATTGTCAGGACAAAAGGAACTTCAGGACTTCCCTTCCCAAACACACTGGGAAAACTTAGTACCAGTCTCTACAGACACCAAGCTAGTCCCTACCCCATTATTTCTGCCTCTAGAGCAGTGGTTCTCAGTATGTGGGTGGCGGGCGGCTCCTTCACAGTTAACAACCCTTTCACAGGGGTCGCTGTATATCAGCTATTTACAGTATGATTCATAACAGCAGCAAAATCACAGTTATGAAATGACAATGAAGTAATTTTATGTTGGGGCTCAGCACACCATGAGGAACTGTACTGAAGGGCTGCAGCATTAGGAAGGTTGAGAACCCCTGCTCTAGAAGAAACACACTACTTCTCCCTGACTCAGACAGACACTGCAGAGTGCTGGCGTCTGACTCCCAAGGCTGCTTCCCCAATGGGCCCTTCCTCACCCACATCAAAGGAGATCGGTGTCTAGCACCCACAGCCCCTCTGCAGAGTGGAGATCTGGCTCCCAGTACACCGGCAGTGTTACTTGGGTGATCCTTCCAACTCTGAGCCATAGTTTGCTCCTCTTAAATCACGGGGCTGTAATATTTCCCTTCAATGTGAAGCTCCGAGGAGCACATAAAAAATTCTGTTGTGCAAAAAGGAACTTGGCACACACACAGAACATGGACAGAAAACAGTGCCTGACTCCCAAAGGCCTATTAACACGGCTACAAAGGACAGAGACTAAGGATCTTCTGAGGACCCAGACTAAGAAAAACAGTCCCCACTCTAGTGGCTATTCTGAGAGCCGATGTGCAGCAAGCTTTCCCTCCTGGGGGAGGCTCCTTCCCTCTTCATGCACAGGAGCATCAGGGACCCTGCACAGCAAAGAACAGGCCCAAGCAAAGCACAGAGAGGAACAAATACTCCAATCTCTACAAAGCAAGAGGTAGGGGTCAGAGTGAAATCTATCCATCCTGGATCAAACTTGCTTTCATTAAGACTGCTTTCGATCCAGGAGACATTGTCCAAGCAAGCACAGCTGGAGAAGTCCTGGACACTTTTTCTCCGCTTCCTCACCCCAGCAGCTCACTGTACTTCCTGAAGACTTTCCGCTACTAGAGGGCATGAGCAGTGCGGGGTTGTCACTGGGCAGCTCAGCACACTGCTCTGTTCCTAACCTAACCTTGGGCAGGCAGGAACGAGCTCCTCTGCCAGGTTCTTAGGGTCTTTCTAGACGGTTCAGATATGGCGCTCAAAACTGAAGTGCTTCCTAGTGAAAGGCTAAGTGTCGAAGGCCAGGTCTCTGTAAGGCTTTTCAAAGTCAGGCCTGACAATTAGCAGGGAGCTCAAGCCCAGCCAGCTATCGTCAGGAAAGGAGGAGGAGGAGGAGGAGGAGGAGGAGGAGGGACTTCCAGGAGATGGAAAGAGAAAGGCAAACGAAGACATCTGGTGCATAAGGGAGGTTCACATGAGATGAGCAGTGACTGCCTGGCAACAGTCCCTGTGTGCATGTGAGGTGTTGTGGGCTGGCCAGGCAGGACATCATCCCCCACATTCAGCACTGCCGTCTAGAGCCTCTTACCTGTTGGGTCCTCCGAGGAGAGTCAGGGCCATCTGACTGGCGCACACCCCCGTCATCTCAAGCCTCCGCTCCAAGGTCAGCCCATGCTTCTCAGCCACAGATAACAGCTTTTTATGTAGCTCATATGAAACACTTGGAACCACCAGGCCAGAGTCTGTAGTTAAAAGAGGCAAGGAGCAAGGGAAAATTACTATAAGAAACCAGGTTTAAAAAAAAAAAAATAATGGGCATTCTATGCAGATTCTGTAAATGCCAACTTTTTTCTTTCTTTTTTCTTTTTTTGGAGGTAGGGTCTCTCATGTAGCCCAGGCTTAAACTTACTATGTAGCCAAAGATGACTTTGAACTCCAAATCCTGTTTCCACCTCCTAAATGCTGGAATTACAAGTGAGCATCGCCACACCCAATTTATTCAGTATTGAAAATTGAATGCTGGAGGCCACTTAGAATATACAGCAGATGACAGCTAACAGTCAACAAGTCACCCACCAGACAAGTAACTCTCCGATGGGGAGCCACACTAGGCCAAGTCCATGGGGTCACTGGCTGTGGAAACCGTTGTTTCTGTCTGTAACTGTCTCGTGTGCCGCCACAACTCCTCCCTAAAAAGAAGGCTGCGGGATCTTTCCACAGGCCACTGGTGGTACGTTTTACATTTCTGGGTCATAATTATGTCTGTGATTTGTCAGAAGGATGACTTCTTCTTACACTGTGTAATTTTGGTGAATAAAATATACTTTCTCAGCCAGGCCTTTATTCTTTGGCCTCAAGACAATTATAGACCTCAGAGAAAATCCAAAGTAGACTAGTTGCCCCTGGAGATGAATTGCTCAATGAATGACATGTTCCCAGGTGTCTATGGTGAAACCAAGGTCAGGCATGAAAAAACCAACTGAACCCAGAACTTTGTGCATGCTCGGCAAAAACTCTACCAAATGAGCAATATCCTAGGTCAAATGGTATCTTTTTAAGACCAAGCCTTGCAAGGCACGGTGAAGCACGCACCTTTAATCTCAGCATTCCCGAGGCAGAGGCAGTCGGATCTCTGTGAGAAAGCCTAAGGTGTTTGCTGGGAGTGAATAGGATCAATGTATGGATGTATGAAATTATTTTTTTTTTTTTTTTTTTTTTTTTTTTTTTTT